GTCATTGCCACATTCACTCATTCTTGCAAGTTTTGGAAAAAACAGAGAATTGGTATTTCTCAAGTGTTGCATCCACACAATTCCGTAGTTTGCTTGGGTTACCTGCAAGCCAGTGGGCTATATCACCAGTCCATACACTAAAGAATGCTCTCCAGCCACAGGATTTCAGTCTCTTTTCTTCACAGCTTTGGTTTTATTACTTTGAACAAAATTGTTAAACACAAGTTCAATATCTCAATCACATCCTCTCCCCTGAGCAAAGGTCTTTTGTAGGAGCTTATCTATTCCCTGCAGCAATCCTGCTTTTTCCTATCCTGCTCCCTGTAGGGCTACATTTACATCAGAGTTAAAGTAAGCTTCTCTGGTCCTTACAGGATTACACTCCATAGTTGGAGGTGAGTGCTGAACCCTGACTCCCTTAAAGTGCCATCCCACTCTCTGACATTACCTAGTTGAAAAGGAAGAAGTTTAGAGCCTGTTAAGCAAAATGTTTTGCATGCAGGCATGATGATCAAAATGCTATATATTCTGTTATGTAGTATTACATAACATTAAGTATTTATTCTAAGACAGATATCAAGAAAACATTGGATGAAAAAGTTCAATGCAAAGAAAATATGAGTAACAAACTAATCCTCAAAGAGTTATAAAAATGTCTTTCATAATTATAAGGGTTTTTTTTTCTGATAATGCATCTTTAATTAAGGAATTGATACATAATTCTTCAATGGAAGTCTGTTACTCTCCATATATCTTTCCCTCTCTGTGATTCTAGCAAATTATGATTGCTGTGTGTAATTAATTATTGGTGTTAGTAGCTTACTAAACACCAAAATCAGCAGTCATGAAAGAAGACTGCTTTGGTTAAAAAACCTTCCTGGTTAAGAAGGGAGTGAAAGAAGTTACTATAAACGGATGAAAAAAGGAGAGACTGAGAGCAGGTTTCAGAGTAACAGCCGTGTTAGTCTGTATTCGCAAAAAGAAAAGGAGGACTTGTGGCACCTTAGAGACTAACCAATTTATTTGAGCATGAGCTTTCGTGAGCTACAGCTCACTTCATCGGATGCATACCGTGGAAACTGCAGCAGATATTATATACACACAGAGATCATGAAACAATACCTCCTCCCACCCCACTGTCCTGCTGGTAATAGCTTATCTAAAGTGATCATCAAGTTGGGCCATTTCCAGCACAAATCCAGGTTTTCTCACCCTCCACCCCCCTACACACAAACTCACTCTCCTGCTGGTAATAGCCCATCCAAAGTGACAACTGAGAGCAGTGAGTACAAATCAGCAGTTAGGAAATGCAGCCAATTGATAAAGAAATCCATGAAAACTCTACAGCCAGTAGTGCTGAGCATACTCAGAAGGAATACTTCAAATACACCAGGAACGCATGAAATTCTAGCAATACCATAGGTCCACTTCTAGACAACCATGGTAAAACTATCAATCATAATGCAGAAAAGGCAAATGTATTCAATAAATGTCTTCTGTATTTGGTAAGAAGCAGGATGATGTATTCATATATTACAAAAGCAGCAAAGAGTCCTGTGGCAACCTATAGACTAACAGACGTATTGGAGCATAAGCTTTTGTGGGTGAATACCCACTTCGTCGGATGCATGTAGTGGAAATTTCCAGACGCAGGTATAAATGTGCAAGCAAGGGTATGTCTACACTACGGAATAAGGTCGAATTTATAGAAGTCGTTTTTTTAGAAATCGGTTTTATATATTCGAGTGTGTGTGTCCCCACAGAAAATGCTCTAAGGGCATTAAGTGCATTAACTCGGCGGAGTGCTTCCACAGTACCGAGGCTAGAGTCGACTTCCGGAGCATTGCACTGTGGATAGCTATCCCACAATTCCCGCAGTCTCCGCTGCCCTTTGGAATTCTGGGTTGAGATCCCAATGCCTGATGGGGCTAAAACATTGTCGCGGGTGGTTCTGGGTACATATCATCAGGCCCCCGTTCCCTCCCTCCCTCCGTGAAAGCAAGGGCAGAAAATCGTTTTGCGCCTTTTTTCCTGAGTTACCTGTGCAGACGCCATACCACGGCAAGCATGGAGCCCGCTCAGGTAACCGTCACCCTATGTCTCCTGGGTGCTGGCAGACGTGGTACGGCTTTGCTACACAGTAGCAGCAACCCCTTGCCTTCTGGCAGCAGACGGTGCAGTACGACTGGTAGCCGTCCTCGTTGTGTCGGAGGTGCTCCTGGCCACGTTGGCTGGGAGCGCCTGGACAGACATGGGGGCAGGGACTAAATTTGGAGTGACTTGACCAAGTCATTCTCTTTAGTCCTGCAGTCAGTCCTATTGAACCGTCTTATGGTGAGCAGGCAGGTGATACGGATTGCTAGCAGTCGTACTGTACCATCTTCTGCCGGGCAGGCAAGAGATGAGGATGGCTAGCAGTCGTACTGTACCATCTTCTGCCGAGCAGCCATGAGATGTGGATGGCATGCAGTCCTTCTGCACCGTCTGCTGACAGCCAAAGATGTAGAAGATAGATGGAGTGGATCAAAACAAGAAATAGACCAGATTTGTTTTGTACTCATTTGCCTCCTCCCCTGTCTAAGGGACTCATTCCTCTAGGTCACACTGCAGTCACTCACAGAGAAGGTGCAGCGAGGTAAATCTAGCCATGTATCAATCAGAGGCCAGGCTAACCTCCTCGTTCCAATAAGAACAATAACTTAGGTGCACCATTTCTTATTGGAACCCTCTGTGAAGTCCTGCCTGAAATACTCCTTGATGTAAAGACACCCCCTTTGTTGATTTTAGCTCCCTGAAGCCAACCCTGTAAGCCGTGTTGTCAGTCGCCCCTCCCTCCGTCAGAGCAACGGCAGACAATCGTTCCGCGCCTTTTTTCTGTGCGGACGCCATACCAAGGCAAGCATGGAGGCCACTCAGCTCACTTTGGCAATTAGGAGCACATTAAACACCACACGCATTATCCAGCAGTATATGCAGCACCAGAACCGGGCAAAGCGATACCGGGCGAGGAGGCGACGTCAGCGCGGTCACGTGAGTGATCAGGACATGGACACAGATTTCTCTGAAAGCATGGGCCCTGCCAATGCATGCATCATGGTGCTAATGGGGCAGGTTCATGCGGTGGAACGCCGATTCTGGGCTCGGAAAACAAGCACAGACTGGTGGGACCGCATAGTGTTGCAGGTCTGGGACGATTCCCAGTGGCTGTGAAACTTTCGCATGCGTAAGGGCACTTTCATGGAACTTTGTGACTTGCTTTCCCCTGCCCTGAGGCGCATGAATACCAAGATGAGAGCAGCCCTCACAGTTGAGAAGCGAGTGGCGATAGCCCTGTGGAAGCTTGCAACGCCAGACAGCTACCGGTCAGTTGGGAATCAATTTGGAGTGGGCAAATCTACTGTTGGGGCTGCTGTGATGCAAGTAGCCCACGCAATCAAAGATCTGCTGATATCAAGGGTAGTGACCCTGGGAAATGTGCAGGTCATAGTGGATGGCTTTGCTGCAATGGGATTCCCTAACTGTGGTGGGGCCATAGACGGAACCCATATCCCTATCTTGGCACCGGAGCACCAAGCCACCGAGTACATAAACCGCAAGGGGTACTTTTCAATAGTGCTGCAAGCTCTGGTGGATCACAAGGGACGTTTCACCAACATCAACGTGGGATGGCCGGGAAAGGTACATGACGCTCGCATCTTCAGGAACTCTGGTCTGTTTCAAAAGCTGCAGGGAGGGACTTTATTCCCAGACCAGAAAATAACTGTTGGGGATGTTGAAATGCTTATATGTATCCTTGGGGACCAGCCTACCCCTTAATGCCATGGCTCATGAAGCCGTACACAGGCAGCCTGGACAGTAGTCAGGAGCTGTTCAACTACAGGCCGAGCAAGTGCAGAATGGTGGTAGAATGTGCATTTGGACGTTTAAAGGCGCGCTGGCGCAGTTTACTGACTCGCTTAGACCTCAGCGAAACCAATATTCCCACTGTTATTACTGCTTGCTGTGTGCTCCACAATATCTGTGAGAGTAAGGGGGAGCGGAAAAGGACCTAGGGGTGACAGTGGACGAGAAGCTGGATATGAATCAGCAGTGTGCCCTTGTTGCCAAGAAGGCCAATGGCATTTTGGGATGTATAAGTAGGGGCATAGCGAGCAGATCGAGGGACGTGATCATTCCCCTCTATTCGACATTGGTGAGGCCTCATCTGGAGTACTGTGTCCAGTTTTGGGCCCCACACTTCAAGAAGGATGTGGATAAATTGGAGAGAGTCCAGCGAAGGGCAACAAAAATGATTAGGGGTCTGGAACACATGAGTTATGAGGAGAGGCTGAGGGAGCTGGGATTGTTTAGCCTGCAGAAGAGAAGAATGAGGGGGGATTTGATAGCTGCTTTCAACTACCTGAAAGGGGGTTCCAAAGAGGATGGCTCTAGACTGTTCTCAATGGTAGCAGATGACAGAACGAGGAGTAATGGTCTCAAGTTGCTGTGGGGGAGGTTTAGATTGGATATTAGGAAAAACTTTTTCACTAAGAGGGTGGTGAAACACTGGAATGCGTTACCTAGGGAGGTGGTAGAATCTCCTTCCTTAGAGGTTTTTAAGGTCAGGCTTGACAAAGCCCTGGCTGGGATGATTTAACTGGGAATTGGTCCTGCTTCGAGCAGGGGGTTGGACTAGATGACCTTCTGGGGTCCCTTCCAACCCTTATATTCTATGATTCTATGACGTTTATGGCGGGGTGGGAGGTTGAGGCAAATCGCCTGGCTGCTGGTTACGCGCAGCCAGACACCAGGGTGGTTAGAAGAGCACAGGAGGGCGTGGTACGCATCAGAGAAGCTTTGAAAACCAGTTTCATGACTGGCCAGGCTACGGTGTGAAAGTTCTGTTTGTTTCTCCTTGATGAAACCCCCCACCCCTTGGTTCACTCTACTTCCCTGTAAGCTAACCATCCGCCCCTCCTCCCTTCAATCACCGCTTGCAGAGGCAATAAAGTCATTGTTGCTTCACATTCATGCATTCTTTATTCATTCATCACACAAATAGGGGGATGACTACCAAGGTAGCCCAGGAGGGGTGGTGAAGGAGGGAAGGAAAATGCCACACAGCACTTTAAAAGTTTACAACTTTAAAATTTATTGAATGACAGCCTTCTTTTTTTTGGGCAATCCTCTGTGGTGGAGTGGCTGGTTGGCCGGAGGCCCCCCCACCGTGTTCTTGGGCGTCTGGGTGTGGAGGCTATGGAACTTGGGGAGGAGGGCGGTTGGTTACAGAGGGGCAGCAGTGGCAGTCTGTGCTCCAGCTGCCTTTGCTGCAGCTCAACCATACACTGGAGCATACTGGTTTGGTCCTCCAGCAGCCTCAGCATTGAATCCTGCCTCCTCTCATCACGCTGCCGCCACATTTGAGCTTCAGCCCTCTCTTCAGCCCGCCACCTCTCCTCCCAGTCATTTTGTGCTTTCCTGCACTCTGACATTATTTGCCTCCACGCATTCGTCTGTGCTCTGTCAGTGTGGGAGGACAGCATGAGCTCGGAGAACATTTCATCACGAGTGCGTTTTTTTTTCTTTCTAAGCTTCACTAGCCTCTGGGAAGGACAAGATCCTGTGATCATTGAAACACATGCAGCTGGTGGAGAAAAAAAAAAGGGACAGCGGTATTTAAAAAGACACATTTTATAAAACAATGGTTACACTCTTTCAGGGTAAACCTTGCTGATAACATTACATACATAGCACATGTGCTTTCGTTACAAGGTCGCATTTTGCCTCCCCCCACCGCGTGGCTACCCCCTCAACCCTCCCCCCTCCCCGTGGCTAACAGTGGGGAACATTTCTGTTTAGCCACAGGCAAACAGCCCAGCAGGAATGGGCTCCTCTGAGTGTCCCCTGAAGAAAAGCACTCTATTTCAACCAGGTGACCATGAATTAGATCTCACTCTCCTGAGGATAACACAGAGAGATAAAAAACGGATGTTGTTTGAATGCCAGCAAACATACACTGCAATGCTTTGTTCTACAATGATTCCCGAGTACGTGTTACTGGCCTGGAGTGGTAAAGTGTCCTACCATGAAGGATGCAATAAGGCTGCCCTCCCCAGAAACCTTTTGCAAAGGCTTTGGGAGTACATCCAGGAGAACCGCGAATGCCAGGGCAAAGTATCCTTTCACATGCTTGCTTTTAAACCATGTATAGTATTTTAAAAGGTACACTCACCAGAGGTCCCTTCTCCGCCTGCTGGGTCCAGGAGGCAGCCTTGGGTGGGTTCGGGGGGTACTGGCTCCAGGTCCAGGGTGAGAAACAGTTCCTGGCTGTCGGGAAAACCGGTTTCTCCACTTGCTTGCTGTGAGCTATCTACAACCTCATCATCATCATCTTCTTCGTCCCCAAAACCTGCTTCCGTATTGCCTCCATCTCCATTGAAGGAGTCAAACAACACGGCTGGGGTAGTGGTGGCTGAACCCCCTAAAATGGCATGCAGCTCATCATAGAAGCGGCATGTTTGGGGCTCTGACCCGGAGCGGCCGTTCGCCTCTCTGGTTTTCTGGTAGGCTTGCCTCAGCTCCTTCAGTTTCACGCGGCACTGCTTCGGGTCCCTGTTATGGCCTCTGTCCTTCATGCCCTGGGAGATTTTGACAAAGGTTTTGGCATTTCGAAAACTGGAACGGAGTTCTGATAGCACGGATTCCTCTCCCCAAACAGCGATCAGATCCCGTACCTCCCGTTCGGTCCATGCTGGAGCTCTTTTGCGATTCTGGGACTCCATCATGGTCACCTCTGCTGATGAGCTCTGCATGGTCACCTGCAGCTTGTCACGCTGGCCAAACAGGAAATGAGATTCAAAAGTTCGCGGTTCTTTTCCTGTCTCCCTGGCCAGTGCATCTGAGGTGAGAGTGCTGTCCAGAGCGGTCACAATGGAGCACTCTGGGATAGCTCCCAGAGGCCAATACCGTCGAATTGTGTCCACAGTACCCCAAATTCGAGCCGGCAAGGCCGATTTAAGCGCTAATCCACTTGTCAGGGGTGGAGTAAGGAAATCGATTTTAAGAGCCCTTTAAGTCGAAATAAAGGGCTTCATCGTGTGGACGGGTGCAGGTTTACATCTATTTAATGCTGCTAAATTCGACCTAAAGTCCTAGTGTAGACCAGGGCCAAGAATCAGGCTAGGGATAATGCAGTTATTACAGTTATAATGAAATACTTTTTATGCCATCAGTAACTAGGGAAATGTTAAATAGCAACTATTAAAGTTACAAAAACTTGTAAAACGTGCAAAAATTTTAAGTGGGGGCATTGCTTGAGGAGGAAGGATGGGCATGTTATTAGAACAGTCTAAAGAGAGATGCCATATCATTTAGGAAAAGGCACCTGCCTCCAGCTGATGAGAGCATTGGTGGTTAGTGAAGCTGGCTTGTGGTGACCAGAGAACAGTAGAGATGCCCACTTAGTTGTCAAAAGAGCCTGTGGTATCACTCTGAGGTTTACAGAGGTGCAGCGCTATTTAAGTGGGCCTGGGACTTTCCTGGGGCTAGAATCTGAAGAACCAATGCATCCTCTGCTGAGGTAGAGCTTGGAACCACACAGAAGTGTGAATGGAAGTTGTCAGCTTCTGTGGCATCAAGTTGGGGGGCTAGAATGGAGACAGCTCCTCTCCATGATTGGCACTATTTCATTGAGTTCAAGTGCCAGACTCCAGGGAACCACTCCTACCATGCCCATGGTAGGGGCCAGTGGCTGAGGATGCAAGCTGGAACAGCACCAAAGGCTGTGGAGCAAATGCACATAAGGATCATAGCTTTTGTCTCTAAGTGAAGTGAAGCTGCTGCTTAAAGAGAAGACACAGAATGATTCCTAGCTGGGATAAAGAAAGGAACAAATCTGCATAAAATTTAGAATGTTTCTAAAGGATTTCCTATACACCAAAGGAAAGCAGATCTAGAGATAGCCTGACACTGCTGCCGAACAGAAGTTAGAACTGGATGTGAAGCCCTCTAGCCAGTGGATGACAGGTTTGATCTTTCCTCCTCAAGCGCACAGAGGTAAAACTCACAACAGAAATAGGGAGCACGGATATGGAGTATAATGATGATGCATACTGTGAAACATAAGACAGTACTCAAGAGATCATTTGGCTACAGAAGATTAACTACTTCTGCTTATATTAAGAAAATTTTTGAAAAAAGTCATATAGCTAGAAGTTGCTTACCTATTGCAGTTACCAGTAAAACACAAGCTTACTGTAAATGAAAAGAAAAAAGTATTGCGTGTTTACTTTGTGCATTTTGATAGCACTTTGTATAGTCAGTTTTTGTTTCCCCTCAAACATCAGCAAGGAAACAAAAATCTATATAGTTATTTTGAGTATTTATAAAATCTGAGGAGGATACTGTTTAAAGGATGCTCTATTATTAGACACTGGACTTTTATTTTAAATAAGTCAATTTCACATAATTCAAGCTGTGTCCCTTTTAAATTGGTAATGCTATTGATGTTCCAGAATTAAAAGAAAGCTGTTAGGTATATGGCAAACAATGCTTCATTCTTTTTTCCATTCACCTTTATTAATGGCAGGACAAGATCACTGCAAGACTTGGCTAGTGTAAGAACATTTGTAGATACTAAATGGATCATTCCCTTATTATTCCATAAAACGCATTATTAAGGAAGTTACCAATAAATAATGCTCTATCGCCCACTGCTGTAGCATGAATGTATCAGCAGAATTGGATGATGTTGTTCAGATGATACGTTCCCCTATGGTACCTTGTGTCCACTTCTTGTCTAGTAAAAATCAAGGATCCTACAGGACTCTGAAGTGAGGTGTCTTTCTTAATACACATTACATCTCACTAAATAAAGTTCTAGCATCCAAGGATATTCACATGCTTTTGATGACTGCTTGTCTTCTACCATTGATGGAGCAGCGAATATTGAATTCTATACTACTAACACAGAATTTATGGCTTTAATAGTTTAGGATATCTTTAACAGGAAAGGAGCTACATAAAACCAAGTCTGATTTTTAGTAATTTCTTACCAGTAAGATCATTACATTTGTTTCATGTACTGAGGTGAAATATTTCACTGGAATTATTCAAGCTTTCACCTAGCTGTGAACTTTCAATACTTTATTCTGAAGGACACTTAACATGTAGTTTAAGACTAGTGAGAATAAAAATGTACTTTATTAAATAACTCAAGAAAAGATAAGGGAAATTGTGCAGTCTGAAAGACATTGGTGATTCTGTATGATTTTTACAGCAAAGAATGAATCATGGCAAATTAGCATCTAAGTTTAGCAGCCAAACTGTCGTCCTCTTCCCATGGAATTAATTTCGGTCCTCAAACTGTGACTTGTTTTTTAAAAGATATGCTGCTAGGAATTCAATAGGATTTGGCGGTCTGTAGAGATAAAAAAAATCAAGCGTAATTACTATTTGTCACATACATTTAAGTGAGCTGGAGAGCTCATCTTCACTGAAAACAGAGACTTACTTGTAAAAGCACTGGACAAATTAGAAATGTTCAGCTTTGTAGCATAACAATCACAAAGGGTCATGTTTCAGCAGCAACTAGAGAACTCCCTAGCCAGGAAGTTCCTCCATTTATTAAGATTCCCATTGCAACACTTCCTGGTCCTCGATAGCCACTACACAATTGTCATTATTAGGCTACATCTACAATAAGCTCTAGGGATGTGATTCTTCTGCTCATGTGCACACTCATATTAGCTGTCACCAAACTAGTGAGTATAAATTGCAGTTCAGCCACAGTTTCAGCAGCAGAGGCATGGCTAAGCTGTGCCAAGTAAATGCACACCAGTTTCAGGAGGATGTATACTTAGTACAGCTCAGCACCCCACATATCAGGCTATCACTTTTTTCCAGGGAAGCATCCAAAAGTTTTAACTGTGGTCTGGAATATATCAATTTAGGACTACATAGTACTCTCCATCCAAAGCAGAACCCCAAATAAATCAGTAGAAGATCTGCACACAGTTTATAAGCAGAATATTGTCTTTACACAGCAACTAAGTGGTTAGTTATTGATGTGGGTGGCTTCTAGTTTAAACTCAAATGTTCTTTTGGGGTTAAGATACCACTGGGAGAGGTATGAAGGTTCTCATGATTTTAACTTAGTCCATTGTGGTCCTTCGAAGTTTTTGATAAGATTAGCCAAAGGTTGTTCCTTCGGCAACAAAGGGGTATTATTAGCATGTGCAGTATGACACTCAAGTGGTTCCAGTTATACCTAGATGACAGGAATCAACCGGAGAGGAAGGACAATTGAGTGTTTCTACTGAGGAACATCCTTTCCATGTTGTTCAAAGTATATATGAGGCCTCCTGGCAAAACAGTCTTTAAACAAAGGGAACAGTATCATTAGTATGCCGCTACAGCACAATCTCTCATTGTATGAACTCCCAAGAATAAGTGCCGAGGAAGAATTTATATGCTATTACCAGCTGGATTTTCTGGAACTACCTTGTTCAATAAAGTAAGAGACAGCATGAGGAGTACCTACTTACTGAGGGAGCAGGACTCATTCAAGAACCCTGAGCCAGGTTAAGAATGCTGGTGAAATGTCTGTCCAGGCTCTTGCCATGAGGAACCATGCAACAGATTTACTTAAAGAACAGATTTATTCAGACTGCATTCTTATTTACCCTGTGAAAACCTTGCATTAAAACTACATGTCCTTGTGACAATGAGATTACCGATATTCTCTTATACAGCTCACATCGCAAGCAGCTAGTTACAGAACACATCTTGGCTGCTCAAGAGAATAGACATGCTATTACATCCACCCCAAATGCCATACGTGAGCTTTTGATGGAGACAAACTGGTTTTGCAAGCCGCTAAGTGGGAAGGCCCTGGCCACATCTGAGCCTCCTTTATTTTGAGGAAAAATGCTACATTAAGTTCTTTACCTCTCCTTTGCAAGTACAGCAAGTCCCTGTAGTAAGATAGGCACAACTGTCTGATCCAAGTAGGCACGTGTAGGTAACGACTGAAGATCCACCTTCTGCTTTGATGTTTTCTCTGCGTTAATCTTCTCATTTTCTACTATCCGCTGATGAATTCAAGGCATCATGTGAATAAAAGTATTGAAATTAGTACATAAAAAGTCTGCTTAAAAGCAGACATTCAGCAAAAGCAATCAGATAAGGGTATTAGAAGATGGAGTGAAATTATCCTCAAATTTCACTCCATATTTTTAATTTGGTTGAGAATCTCAATTCCGTTTTCTTAAGTTAAATATAGAAAGCCTTATGTTAGATTCTAACAGCATGCTGCCATATAAGCTACATTAAGTTTCTTAAAAAGAAAAGGAGGACTTGTGGCACCTTAGAGACTAACCAATTTATTTGAGCATGAGCTTTCGTGAGCTACAGCTCACTTCATCAGATGCATACTGTGGAAACTGCAGCAGACTTTATATATACACAGAGAATATGAAACAATACCTCCTCCCACCCCACTGTCCTGCTGGTAATAGCTCATCTAAAGTGATCAACAGGTGGGCCATTTCCAGCACAAATCCAGGTTTTCTCACCCTCCACCCCCCCCACACAAATTCACTCTCCTGCTGGTGCTAGCCCATCCAAAGTGACAACTCTTTACATAATCAAGTCGGGCTATTTCCTGCATAAATCCAGGTTTTCTCACATCCCCCCCACCCCCATACACACACAAACTCACTCTCCTGCTGGTAATAGCTCATCTAAACTGACCACTCTCCAAGTTTAAATCCAAGTTAAACTAGAACATTGGGGGGGGGGGGTAGGAAAAAACAAGAGGAAACAGGCTACCTTACATAATGACTTAGCCACTCCCAGTCTCTATTTAAGCCTAAATTAATAGTATCCAATTTGCAAATGAATTCCAATTCAGCAGTTTCTCGCTGGAGTCTGGATTTGAAGTTTTTTTGTTTTAAGATAGCGACCTTCATGTCTGTGATTGCGTGACCAGAGAGATTGAAGTGTTCTCCGACTGGTTTATGAATGTTATAATTCTTGACATCTGATTTGTGTCCATTTATTCTTTTACGTAGAGACTGTCCAGTTTGACCAATGTACATGGCAGAGGGGCATTGCTGGCACATGATGGCATATATCACATTGGTGGATGTGCAGGTGAACCGGGCCGTGGGGGTGTGGGTGGGGTCTTTGGGGGGGTGGTGGGGGTGGGGGGGGGGGGATGTGGGGGGATTTGGTGGGGGGGTTTGTTTTGGTGGAATGAACCCAGGAACTTTCCTTGACAAGCCCGTTTGCCAATCTATTCAGGGGCACCATCACAGGGCCTAAACCCAGCCAACATCAAGCCCCACCCCCTCTGATAGTGTGCCTGCCAGCAATCCCCTGCATGACATTGGTAAACGTTATTAGGCCCTGTGATGGTGTCCGCTGAATAGGAATTATTTGATGGACATTAATTTGGGCAAAATTGGAGACTGGGCTTTGTTAGGGGGGGGGGGGCAGGAGAGTGAGTTTGTGTGGGGGTGGAGGGTGAGAAAACCTGGATTTGTGCTGGAAATGGCCCACCTGTGATCACTTTAGATGAGCTATTACCAGCAGGACAGTGGGGTGGGAGGAGGTATTGTTTCATATTCTCTGTGTATATATAAAGTCTGCTGCAGTTTCCACAGTATGCATCTGATGAAGTGAGCTGACGATAAGTTCTGTTAGAACCACTAACCCAGGAACTAATGCTAACACGGCTGTTCCTCTGAAACCTGTCATTAAGTTTCTTGAAACTGGAGGCAGCCCCTACACTACCATTTTCATCAGCTCTTTTATATTCATAGCTCTTCCCTGCCAACTGTTATAGATTAGAATGATTTTATTTATGTAAGCAGTCCTCATTAAGTTGCTCTTGTGAGCATTTGTAGTACCAGGCTTCAAAAAGTAGGACCAAATTCTGCAAGAAGGATTTGCAGGATAGGACACTTGCATTTACCAAGCGTTCCCCTGCCAGCAATGGTACTTGGAACAGACCATGGTACATGGTACTTGGTCCAACCATGCAAATCCCTGTGTGAAATCAGGCTCCAATACAGTAAGTTATTAATCTTTTTAATACGCTGAAATGCTTACGCACAAAATAGATACATTTCCTCCACTTTTTTGGCTCCACTATATTGTAACCTTTTGGTCAGAAAATATTAAATGAATTGTCTTATACTATTGTCAAATGGATTTTTACACACACAATATAATTTAACATAACGTCCTCCAAAATTGTCAGTTTTGCCACACATGGATATATTTTTAACATCAGCACTACAGAAAGTTAGTCTATAATTTATTCTAAACATGCAAAGAACATTTGGGGTAAGATCTAGAAATCATCACGGGTAGTTCAAAGAAGTCTGTCCATGGTAGTTGTAAATACAAAAAAACCAAAACCACAACCCTCACAGAACGCACCCTGGCATCATAAAAGTAAGAAAAAACTAGGGCTGTTGATTAATCGTAGTTAACTCACGCGACTAATAAAAAAATTCGTCACAATTAAAAAAATTAATTGCGATTAATTGCACTGTTAAAGAATAAAATACCAATAGAAATTAAATTTTTGGATGTTTTTCTACATTTTCAAATATATCAATTTCAATTACAACACAGAATACAAAGTGTACAGTGCTCACTTGACAGTGCAGATTTGACAAAACGCAAAGAAGATACCAATGTGAAATTTCTAAATAGCTACAGAACACAACCCATGATTTAACAATCTGAGAGGGATGAGGCATGGAGCATTCTTTCACAAGTCTTAAAAGAACAATACTCTGAGCATGTGCCGGTCCGCACTGCTTTGGGTTGTTATTGAGCAGAACCCGTCATGAGCATAGATGCATGTCCTCTGGAACGGTGGTTGAAGCATCAAGGGACATATGAATCTTTAATGCATCTGGCATGTAAATATCTTGTGACGCCGGCTACAACAGTACCATGCAAATGCCTGTTCTCACT